AGCTTTTGAACTGTGGTGCTGGAGAAAACAATCAAACCAGTTAATTCTAGAGGAGATCAACCCTACTTGCTCTTTAGAAGACCAGATCCTGAAGATGAAACTCAAATACTTTGGCCACCTAATGAGAAGGAAGGACTCACTGTAGAAGAGCCTAATGCTGGGAAAGATTGAGGGCAAAAGAAGGGAACGGCAGAGAATGAGGTGACTGGATGGAGTCACCGAAGCAATAGGTGTGAGCCTAAATGGGACTCCAGAGATGGTAGAGGACAGGAAAGCCTGGAGGAACATTGTCCATTGGGTTGCGATGGGTCGGACTCAACTTCACAACTAACAACAACATACTTAGTCAACACTTAATCAGAAGACTTATTCTGTCTTTCTCTGTAAAGATTTTAAAAAATACTGCTGCCCTATGTTTTCCTGTTGAACAATTTCCTCTTTTCCTGCTACATTTTTCCAAATCAATGTTGGAATCACACTGCAGGAATGATGCAAAGTAATTCAGAGTATTTGATATAGAAAAAGTAAATTGAGAATGTTCTTTCAGTGAACACTCTCAATGTGTCTCTAAGATTTCATGACTAAACCTTGCTACGTTTTAAAAAGTGCCTTGCAATCCAGCCACTCTTCTAGGGAAATTGTAGGAAAGTTTTTAATAAAAAAATCACAATGTACGGTTTATGTACTGTAATGCAATATGCCCAAAACAGTCCATATTGTTCTTCAATCTGCAATTAAGGATCAGATCTTGGCTGTTTCTGTCTTAGCCAGGTCATAATGATTGATTGATTGAATGTGCTTCTGTACTACTGAACTTAAAATTGTGACTCCTAGTGGTTTATATCACAAAGTATAAAAACCAATGAAAATCCAAAACAGCCCTATTGTGCTGAATAGCAAGGAAGCTCTGAAGATAGTACTCCTATTGCTGCCATAGGTGATTATGCCTCTGGAAGTCAGCTTATATGCTGTTGTTGATTGTTATAGTCTCAAGTTTCAGGTATTTGTTATTAAGATGTGTATGTTTGTGTGTAAGTGTTTATTTGTTTTAGGGAAAATCTGGGAAGTAACAAACTGGGTACTGAATGAGGCAAAGGGAAAAAATAGTGTTCTGACCTGATTGGTGCCATGAATTTGGAATGCTGTCTTAACTTTTACAGATATATTTATTTATTCATTTATTTGTTGTAGGTTGCACAGTGTACAAATAGGTTTAAATTCTGAAGTGCCAGTCTTAGACCCGTGCCTGCCAATGGGACTAGAGGATGTTGTGGATAAAGATGGGCAGGCAATGCATGTCAGGGGTCAAGGTGATTGGAGGAGCTGTGCAGAACAACTGCGCCCCCTATTGGCTGGAGACAACAGCAGTGGAAGTTCTTTGAGCAATTCCTATCAGGCAACTATTGATTTTAAGAACAGTGAATTCTATGGGTTCTCAGAATTCTACTACTGCACTGATGATGTGCTGCGTCTAGGAGGAACTTATCTAAGCAATACATTCACACGTGCTGCCCAAGTGAGTATGACTTTTGCCTTGATAATTTTCTGTGTATCTCTTTATTTTTTACACTAATCTCCCTTTGCTTTACTACCCTCCAGGATTATTGTAGCCTGAGCTGGTCAGTATTGCTACAGAGATTCCAAGATAAGCTTTACTCACCACATGCGGACCTCCACCGTGTTAAGTAAGGAGCCATTCTTACCTCTTGCAGGAGAAGACCTGGGGGTAGAAGACGTAATAAATCTATAGTCCTTTGTTTGCGATGCTGGGACAAGAAATTAGAAATTATTAAGATGAGTCCAGATCTGCATCTTTGTAATGAAACTAATATGTTCTGTTTGCAGGTATCAATGCTTCAAGTCAGCTTGGATGCACCAGGTTCTGCATGAAGGATTCCATTTCCCTAAAGATTACTCTAGCTTGCGTACAGTGCAGTTGTTATATGACCGAGAAGTGCAATGGACATTGGGAGCCATTCTTTATAAAACCCGCTTTTTACCTCTCAGGTATTATAGGATGTTATTTCCTGAATTTTGTGAGTTTTTCTCTAGGAGTCATCTTGGGAACGCCAACATCAGCCTTTTGGAAGAAGAGTTTTAGGAGATATTTCCCTTCCTTTCATAAATTGTTTGTGAGATTTGAACTAACACAAGCCAAATCTTTTAGGTATCTGGGACTTAAATTTTCTTCATGCATTTGAAGGTTTATTTACCTTCAATTTTTGGTAGCTGAAATCCTGTCCCTTGACTTTCAGGTCAAACTAAAATATATGAACTGATGTGGAGGTTAGGTAGGAGTGTAATCTTCCATTGAATGAGCCCTTAAAGAGTTTACGCCTCTGGGAAGGCAGGTGATACAATATATGGAAGGGAGCCTTATCACAAGAAAGATGAGTGGGAGCTCTATGTCACAGTCCTTGCACCTCTCGTGAAATAAAAGACACTATAACTAAATAGTGTCAAAATTCCCATTAAACAACATCACACATTAGCAGGTACAGGATAATGTATGATTAAAGAAACTATTAAACCTCAGTTTTAAATCCCTATTTAGCTATAAACCATAAGAGTAGACTTTGGGCCTGTTGTTTCCTAATCTCTCAAGGCTATTGAAATGAAAAAATTGAGGGGCGGGGAGAGGGTTTACATATAACACTCTTAAGGACTAGGAAGAATGTGATATACAAGAAGTAAAACGGCCAATTTTTGTTCTGTTTCAGGGACATCCAACGGGAGAGCTTCCATCAGTCACACAACTCTTGGTTCCATCTTTCCTTTGTCTACAATCATTATCTGTTTTTTGGGTGTATTCTTGTGGTGACACTTGCAATTGGGCTCTACCTTCTCCGTCTGCGCCGTATCCACCATCAGCCATTGCAGTCAGCACCCCTTGATCTGCTGTGGCTAGAAGAAGTTGTACCACTGTCAGCTCAGAAAGAAGGCTCCTGACAAAAGGATGCTATCAGGACTGTTGCAGTGACTATTCAGTGTTTCCTTATTGGCACTGGTTTTTAATGGGCCAAAAGCTGTGATTCTCTTCCCCCACCCCCCTATAGCACTCCTTGTTAGCCTTAGAGTGGCTGCTCAATATTATTCTATCCCAAGGGCCGTGGCTGCCAGGGGACTTCAGATTGTGTCTGAAGTTCCTAGCTGGGATAGGCAATCATGTTGCAGGTGTTACAGGGCAAGGACCAAAGGTTGGCTTCCATCCCTGTTGGAATTGGAAACAGTATCAAGGCAAATGACCAAAGAAAACTATCTGCTCAGGAAAAGGTGGGTGGGAGAACTTGCCACAGGATATTTGCTGGACCAAGCAGCTTTTTTGAGGGATCTGCAAAGTAAAGTGAAGTGAAGGTGCTTGCCTTCTGTTTTGAATAGAGGCTGCTTCTTGTACCAGTGGCTGAGAGAGGACAATGTTTTAAAATGTAGGATCCATTGAACAAAAAAACACTCTCAAAACCAGAAGAAAAAGAAGCTATAATTGGTTGCTACATTCTGCCTTCTTTTTCCCACTTATGGTTTTCAAGGAATTGAATTTTGCACATAGAGAGCATGGAGATTCTGTCAGAATTACATGCATGATGAAGGATGGCTCGTTGGGGATGCTCCTTCCTTGGGCATTTCATCTGTTTCTAGTACAGGTAATCCCCCAGGTACGACCGTGCATTTAGTGAATTTTCCCAAGAACAAATTTATTCAGGAAAGATATTCTAAAAAGAAGCCTCTGTAGCTATGTGACTTGGATTCAACCACTCCTGCAGCAGTAGCCATTTTAAACTGGCTTCCCATTGCCGTTCTGCATTATGAAATGCAATTTCCTGAAACTGGCAAGGTTTGTTTTTTCTCCCTGGTCACATGGCCAAACAAGTTGCAGTTATTTTGCAACCAGTGCTGAGTTTGTTTTTGGTTTTTTTGGTGCTACCTGGAGAGGCTTGTGCTGATCAGAGGGAGTGTTTTTTTTAAAAGAGGTTTTAAATTTAAATTGACTCCAGAAGTTGTGGATGCCCCATCACTGGAGGCTTTTAAGAAGAGACTGAATAGGCATTTATCAGAAACACCCTCCCCCCCCAAATCCCAATTTAGCTGGCTGTCTAGAGGGGCTTGAATTGACTAGCAATTTTTTAAAAAGTCCTTGCCTGTCTGGATAGATTTGAGCTTAGCAGGGGCAAGTGATTTTTTATTTTAACCCATAATGAAAGACCTTCAGCCATAGTGACCGCAACAGTTTTCCAAAATGTCTGGAACACCCCTATTTTTAGAAATGGACCATTCCAGTTGTGAATAGTTCTTGTTTTCCCACCAATAAGAGTGTATGCAGTGTATGCACTTGCGTCAGTTATTTGGTGTTTTCTGTAGAGCCATTTGAATTTGAGTTTCGGTCATTTTGACCACAGATCTTTGTTAACATTTTTTTTATAATGTCGGGGCAAAGTTTTTCACCAAAAAGAGTGCGATTTGGTGCTGCAAACTTTGAAAAAATTGTTCTAAAATGGTATGGAGAAACAGAGCTATCTGAGTGAAGTGGAATCAGATTGTGACAAAAAATTTGCAATGGACGATGAGGAACCAGCCACTGGCAGAGATTCTGACATCAGTGATGATGAATCTCCCAATGAAATTGATGACCATGTGCAATCTACATCGTGCAATAATTTATATAGCAAGAACAAATTCAAATGGTCTTCCGCACCTTTTGGAAGCAATAGATCCAGAAATGCTAGTCACAATATTGTTGTGTAATTACCTGGACTACGGTCAGCAGCTGGAAATCTCGGCAATTCACCTACTCTCCTAGAGATTTGGAAATGATAATTTTCTAAAGAAATTATTAGTGCCATCATTCTGTGGACCAATGCAAAAATTAGAGAAGAAAGATTGAACTTCAAGGATGAAGAAACAAAAAGTGACCTGCGCGATGTGATAGAGATCGAGACATTTTTTGCTTTACTGCTCTATACATCAATTTTTAGAGCCAACCATGAAAACATTGAATGTCTTTTTGCTACAGAGGTTATTATGACTTCATGTCTCTAATAGTGTAGCCAAAATAGTACATCTGTGGTTAAGGGTTAAAGCAACTTAAGCTGAGAGTTTTGTAATACCTCACCCCACCCCACCCGCTGCCTGGAGATACTTGAGCTGTCTTTAAAAAGCAACTGCAAGCAGAGAGCTCTGGGAGCCTGCTTGGAGACAGTTTAGTTTCTGAGCTGAAGGCTGCACCGGAAACAGCTGATGGGCAGCTGGCAGCAGCGGAGAAAGCCTCTCCGTTCAGTTAACAATGGCAGTGATCAATTAATGCAGGAAATAGTCAGATTTCGTTCATTTAACAACCCATTTGATTCAGTTAACGAATTTGATTTTAAAAATTTGTAAAATTGAGTCTGATTCATTTGAAGAATTTTTTGACTTACGACCCTAATGGGCAGGCTCCATTAGGGTCATACCTTGAGGACCATCTGTATAGCAGAAAACTATCTTGAAATACAAACCATTCTGGATAACTGAACTTCTTTCAACAGCGACTGTCTAAATTAACGGTGATCTACATTTCATAATGTATTTGTTTGAATACTTGAAATCCAGTGAATTTTAGCAATAAAGTACACTGAGCTATGTAATCAAAGTTTCTTGAGGCCATCTTTGATGTTTCTTTTCCTATAGCCCAAGGGGCTGCACAAGCCATTATGCCTCATGTGCCTTTTTACTTGGTTGAAGATCTAAAGGAAAATATATATATTTTTAAAAGTTTGAATGCTTGCATGGAATAAACTCCTGCATGGCTTGCATTTTCCATTTCTAGTTTTGAAAGTAAGAGTCATTTATTGGCTTCACTTATTTATTTATTTTATATCCTGCCTTTATTATATAAATAACTTAAGGTAATGAAGACATAATACTCCTTTCTTCTGTTTTCCCCACAATAACAACCCTCTAAAATGAGTTAAAGAGAGAAAGAGTGAGTCACCCAAAGTCACCCAGTCAGCTTTCATGTGTAAGGCAATGCTAAATTCAGTGTCCTGGCTTCTAGCCTAGTGCCTTAACCAGACTAAACTGGTTATCAGTCATGAGTCTATAGACTGAAATCATCCTTGGCAACAAAATCCCCACCCAAAATTTGATTTTGGTAAAACTGTTCTTTAAAATGATACAAGTAATATGAGCAGTTACATTGTAGATAAACTCAACCAATAGGTCCCCACCAACAGTAGATCACAAACGGTACTTTAATTTTCACAATACAAGTTTATATTTATATTTACAATTGGTAGTTACATGGACAATTAGAAATGTCTAGGCTAATACACTCTGACAGAAGAACCTTTGTATGCAAAGATCAAGATGCAGAGAAACCTACACATCTACCATGTCGTTTGAAATGGAGAAAAGTTTCTCATATTCAGAAGGATGTTGCAAAGTTCTTATCAACTGTAATTCAATCTCAAGAGTATAACCACTTATTGTACTGTACGACTTACTTTACTGCAATTACTTTACTGCAATTACGAAGGGAGGGTCCTTAATAAAAACATTTAAGATGATATATGCCAAAGTATCAGTTAAAATTGGAAGGCAGGGGATAGTCACTACGGTGGAAATGGGTTGTAAAAGATCCATCACACTTTCAACTGGAAAGGGCATGGGTGAAGCCTGAAACAGAAAGATTATCATTGGTGAACTTTCCCAAAAGAGAGAACCTGTCTTAGAACTTTAAACCACTTCCCTTCTCTGCCTTACACAGACACAAAGAATAACAGCCTGTTGGATTCATAAATTTTGATCATAGCAGTGCTGGCCCAGGACAAGTAAAGAGTCAAACTCATGATCTCTTGAAAATAATAATGCAGTCAATCCTTTTTTCTTTCCAGTTAGTTGATTACAACCAACAAGAAGCTAGTTACTTCTATGTTTTTATGAGCATGAATAGGTGGATACATACCTATTAAATTGGTCTGTAACAGCCCTGATCATTCCCACTGAAAGAGCACATACCAGATGGTATCATTCTTTAGCTGAGGGCCAAAGAGTGGATTGGCTTGAGAAAGAATTGCTAAAAGCCAACTGCAAGAAAAAAAGATAAAATTCCTGTATACAGAGTCACAACTAAGAGCAAAGAAATTAATTTAAAATTATGTATAATTGTTTATTATGAAAGATAAGACTTAGTAAAGAATACAAGGGTGAAATGAGACTCTGAATGTAATTCAATTAGTAAGTAGTGTCAAGAGGAAATTAAGAAAAAACACATAAAGAAGTGAAAGAAATTAGAGCAAAAGGAACTTCTAAAACGAAGATACTGTACAAATGTTTTGAATGAAAAAGTGTTAGAAAATAGAATAATAACCCAATGGAATTAATGGTAAGAGAACATAGGATAGAAGGTATGGAAGCTATTTGGAAGAGGGTGAAAGGAATTATGTTACAAGTATCATAGAACTGAGTTATGCTTATGAGAAATATGAGAAAAGATGTTTGGTGAAATTACATTGAAAGAATTACATTGTTATTTACGTTGCATATAAATAACAAACAAATGTTTGCATTGTTCCAGTGGCACAGCAGAATAACATCATCCTACAGCATGCTAAGAATGGAGTATCTTAATATAGCCTCTTTTATCTCAGATTACCTTTATTTTCCCAGAAAGGAGGAATTGGGATTATATTGCTATATCATCCCCAGCTAGAAAAGCATATGTCTTTTTTTTTAGAAACAGCCCCAGCTACCTCATTCCCATAATTTACTTACAAAAGATAACAACAAACAGCAGTTGTCACCAGCATGGTAATAATCACTCTAAAGAAAAAAGAAAAAAAGTTAGAGAAACATATAAAGAAATTTCAGGGTGACAGAATCAAGAATTACATACTAGGCTGCTGTACACATAAAGTAATTGTACTGTAAGCTATTATTCTTTTGAATCTACATCATGTAACAGAATCCTACCAGATGATCTAGCTAAGCCTTTTGGCAGTTGATTATCTATTGCAAAATCAAGGAGCATAAATCAACACTTACCCCCACTTCCCTTTGGTGAAATGATACACCCTATTCTACACAGAGCACCTGATCTGTGATGGCACAGTTTCTGAAAACAGACATGTCACTTATGTCTCTTGTCTTGTCCTATCCTTGGCTGGGGATTCAGGAGTCTCAACAAGAGGGCATTGGGGAAAGCAGGCTAGAGGGCACAGAGGGTGGGGGAAGCAGCTAGATCAGTATTTCTCAACCTTGGCAACGTCTGGACTTGCTGGATGGAGAATTTTGGAAGTTGAAATGTACAGATCCTCAAAGGTTGAGAAACACCGAGCTACATCAACGGCTTCGGGGTCTTGAACGTTTTCCTATTCCTACATTTTCCTAAGCTATTGACGCTCCATCCATCCTGAGGCGTCAATAGCTTAGAATGAATTGAAATGGTGTGAATGGGAAAGCGAGGAAGAAATAGGGCGGAAAAAAACCTCACCCGCGATTGGGCCCCTTCGGCACCAGCCACGGACCCGCAAAACCCACGAGCCCCCAGAAGATGGAGAAGAGAACCATCGGCAACGCTAAGCCGTGCGCCGTCATAGCGAGACCGTTTCGGATCGACGAGAGGAGCTGTCCACTTCTGCACAACCCAGGCTCCGCCCGCTCTCTCGGATTCCCGTATTCATTGGTCCCTTGGACAGCCTCTCTTCCGGATCAACTCCGCAGGCGTCGCGATGATTGGCTGGCCGCTGGTCTTTCATTGAGCCTTCTTTTTGGAATTTGGGATCCGCGCAGATTATACAACACTGTCCATTTGGCTTCTGCCAAATCGCAGCATAGAATAGAGCCAGGGTGCCCAATCGGTAGCTTTCTCGATGAGCCGAAATATTTTATTTTTCACATTTCTAAAAGCGCCCACCTCCCTCCGCGCATCTTCCTCAAAGGGGAACGCTCTAGTTTCTACAGTATTTGAGTGAATGCTGGCGGGCGGTAAAATATCAGCAACGTTAAGGAAGGAACCTATTTTGAAATGAATTGGTGTTATTCGGGGATTTCTGAAATAATGAGTCAAAGTCCCGTTCTGATAATTACAAGATCCATTCATTGGCTTAAGTAAAATTAATTTCCTTTGATCTTAAAAAGAGCTATATAGCTTAAAAATGTATATATTTTAGTGAATATCTCGTATGTTTTATAAGGATTGGTTACAGATACTTTACTTTTGGAGATGCTATTAGAAGTTATCTTTAACTTGTAAGTTAAACTTTTCAGAGAAAGTTGATTATATAAATATGATTGGGCAATGAAAATTTTCTTTTGAACTATATACCTAGTACATGGAGTGTGATAACTGGACAACATAAATATGCTCTTACTATAGGTATAAGACTGATATTGCAGCATTGAAAAAATAAACGTATAGCTCCATTTATTCAATGGATTGAAGGCCTGATTGCACTTCCCACTTACGAGTGGATTGTATATAGATAATAAATGAATATTATCACTGGACAAGTATATATGCACAATTTTAATCATGTATTATTATAATGACATATACTATGTATTTTTCTGCTGTATAATAAAAAAAGTTTGGCTTCAACATATGATAGAGCAGAGCAAGTGTAAAACTGGGCAAAGGCAATAAGATATTCAACATCTTTGCATTAAACAGACTGACTGAAGTAAAAACCAATGTGTTCCTGTTGTAGCTGGGAAATTTAACAATTGACTAATAATTACAGGGGTTTGAATATGGGCTGTATTTTTTTGAACTTGGTATGTCCAGGGAACCCAGACTGGAAGAAAATATCTGAGGTTTTTTTGAGAACCATTTTGGCCAGGGAACCAGGGGACTGAGAGTGCTGCCTTACACATGAAAACTGGATGAATGACTTTGGGTCAATCATTCTCTCTCAGCTCAACTCACCTCAAAGGTTGTTGTGGGAAAATAGTAGGAAGGACTATTAGATATGTTCACTGCCTTAAATTATTATAAAAACAATAAAGTCAGGATATAAATATTTTCCAGTACCTATTGTAGGTTTTGCATAATATAGCATTTAAATATAGACAAATTAAACATAATCACATTGTATGAAGCAATTGTTAGTTGAATAGTGATATAGTGACCAAGTTCACATATTATACTAAGACATAAATCAGGATTTACAGGCCACAATGGCTGAGTTCACACTTCATTTTAACATAAAAACAATTAAGGTATACGATAACTTACGAAAGCTAAGCTGTTAGTGTTTGCAGATGACCTGGCTAAGCTTCTGCTCACTGTATGAATCAGAAATGTTTTCTGAATGTATATTATTGCCAACCCTGAGAGTGGGAAGTCAAACAAGAAACATCCACCCAGTATGTTTAAGAATTAAAGCAAACAATTGTGAAGATGACTTCTTGACAAATCAAATAAATTGGATGGTGAATAGTCCTGCCTACATAATTCCACATTTCACTGTTTACTATTTTTAAGGAGTTTAAGATTAATCTTATACCATTTCAAGTCATAAAATATAACATGGCTTTCTCTCTTAACATATTAATAATAGGTTGCATAAGGACATGAAAAAAGTGGACAAAAAAAATGTTTATCATGTTTATTTAAAACTCATAATACACACTATGTTAATATTTAAAAATGAACAAGTTTCCACTAAAAGAAACATGAAAGCACATAGTTGCATATAATTTAGAATATAAACTGTATTTTGCCATCCTCCACATAATATAAATATTTCCAAATTTCCAAGGCCACTCTTTCCACAATCCTATTCTACATCATGCCATCTTTTATATACAGAATTTAGGGAAAGACACAATTGAAATTATTTGCTATTCTACATCATGCCATCTTTTATATACAGAATTTAAGGAAATTGAAATTTGTGGTTATATCATTAATGAACTGTATTGCAGAACATGAGGAATAACCAAAACAATCCTTCATTTTTTCCACAGATACAATCTCAATAATTTTATAACACAAAAAAGGCCAGCAAAACAGATCATGGTTTGTATTCATGTTTTGAAGCAGTATTCTCCACATCAATGAAGCCAAGATAGCAGAATATACAATTCTCCTCTTCAATTCAGTCCTCAGGCAGAGGATGACATGGTTCATAAAAGTGTTAATTTTGAACATTTAATGCTTGAGCTATTTAGGAATCCCTCTGAGTTCATTAATTAGCCACACAGCCATACTGAGCAACATCAATGAACCTGATTGATGAGTAGCTGCTAAAGGAGTTGGGACGTACAGAAGTAATGTGCTGATACCCAGGGTGACCTGCAACAGAGCAAAAATATCAATGCTGAAACAGGCATAGCTTAATGTATATAGCATGTTTTTACAAATGTTCAGAAGACCTTTGTATCTGTTGATCTTACCTTTGTATACTGTATAAACAATAATACAAAACAACTTTATGAGAAGATTTAGTGATGGATTGCATGTGACAGGTTAACTTTCTGCCAGGATTTTAATGTTTGTGGTTTTTAATGGATATATGTATGTATTATGTTGTTTTATTATTGATGTTGTTTTAACTGTTGGTTGGGAGCCACCCCAATTTTGATATAAGACTAGGCAGCTATATATATTGTAAGTAAGTAAGCAAGCAAGCAATCAAGCAAGCAAGCACCGTAAGTAAGTAGTTTTTGTTATTCACTCTCTTACATTCTTTACACTCTTACAAGTGCAAGAAAAAGGAACAACTACAATAGTAATCCACCCCTTGTTTCATGAAATAATGCTTACACAACTTCACTTTTCTGGCATTTTCTTCCATTATGATATGGCAAATCTATCTGTCTGTCTTGTTTCTAACTCAAAGCTATATGAAAAAAGCTGGTTGTATGGTGTCATGGTTGCTATTAACTGTATTTAAAATCCCTGAATAAATCATCCAAGATAAATCAGTTTAAATAAGCGCATACTCATCTAGAAGGGCAGTTTATCATTTAGCCCAGAGAATACTATTTCTCTGCTAGCTGGAATTTAAATGTGTACATTAAAATGTGTACATTAATGAGAAATGAATACCTGAAGATATGCTACAGTCAATAAGGAAGCAAATGCCATTCTAGTTCTACGTGGGAGAGAGATCTTCCTGGAAAGTAGATAAAGCATTGTGATGGCTGCAACTGAGGAAATGCCCTAAAGAAAGAAAGAAAAACTATTAAAACATCTTCCAACAGCCCCACCAAAGCCTTGGAAAGCTCCATTTTACAAAGCAAGCCATCTTGCTTTCATCAGGAAGCAAATGGATAGAACAAGCATTGGGTATACTGATATTTAGCAATTTTCAAGCCCTGCCTTCTCTTATACCTTATATTAGGTCAACAGCAATTCTTGAGATTCAGATTATAGCCTGTAGGCTCTACTATTGTGGCCTTATCTTCATAATTTTTATATTCAAATCCTCTTAATGGGTGGGTTTAAAAAGATTATTGTAGTACATTTGCAATAGCTTTGTTTTAATGGATCATGCAAGCTTCAGAATTGAGCTGACATTTTTTACTGTTTTAACAAAAATGATCTTTCTAACCTTCATACCTGGAGAAATTTTTAAAATTATAGATGGCAGAATTGAAATTAGTATCTTAGATTTGTAAAAGCTAACACTCCATCTAAGCTGGTAGAATTCATTCCCATAGTTTTTGTGTGTATTTTTAAAAACTAATCAGATTTAAAAAAAACCTATTACTTCATAGCATAAAGGCAATGATGCGTACCAGGATTCTGTGATCAAACTGCACTGTTGTAGGATTCTCAAATATATTCTTTGCCATTGGGGAAAAAGCAAGGAGATCATCAGGTATCCAGCGTTCTCCCATCTTTGGAAAGGAATTATATACAAGACCAGCATCCAGTCCAGCCACAAATGCTCCTATAGTTTCAGAGAACAGAGGCTGATACACTTGAAGGCAGATTTTCAAGAAGATATAAAAGTTTTTGAGATGATAAGTTTTTATCCCTACAACATTTCCTAGCTCTGTATACTGTCCTTCAGGAGCAGGGATTTAAGAACTTTGCTGTCACTGAAAAATCCAAACTTTATCATGGATCTGATGAAGCAAGGTCTTACAATAGATGCATTTTTCTTATCTCCCCCTATTCCCCGCCTCCAAATTTAAGGTACCAGTCACAGAGACATTTACCTGAGAGGGCAGTGAGAAAAATGAGTCCTGATGTCCCATAAGCAAATTTTCTCAGGCGTAATAGTTGGTGGATTTTAGGTAGCTGCCAAAACACAAGTACAATAGTATATGCTATAATCCTTTCATATATTCTACATAAAAGATCTTACAAATTTTCTGATTACATTCCCCATCTCTGCCTCCTGTCTAAGCCTGTAAAGGACATATCTGCCATACCTCTTCCCTATTCCAAATGCAGATGTTGTCTAGGACTATGGCACCAAACCAATATTCAAGATACAAGTTCCATATTTTACATACCTTATGTTGTGGTAGCAACAAGGATAGCCCAGTCCATAAGCTGTAGCAGTAAAGAACAAGAGCAGATCCCAGATGTGCAGTTAAACGATATTGACTGACCCGAGGGATATCATGGGAATCTGGCTTTTCTTCTAATCCACTTTTGACCATATACCAGCCCA